AAAAAAAAAAAGGATATATTTAAAAAAAAAAAGAGAGAGAGAGAATGGAGGGATCCTTATGCCAAAGAGACATAAGGATGAGATTAGGAAAATGAGAATACAGGATATGCCCAGGAACCTTTTTAATTCTTTAGCAGGAAAACCTAGAAGTCATTTCTCCAGGGACCTGAGACTAACAATCTCTATTAATGTCTGAGGCATGGTTTGCAGGGGTCTAAAGGGCAGGAAGAAGGGGTGCGGGGTACATCTTTAATGCATCTACTGCCACTTTGGAAGTTTGCAGATAGTAGTGCCAAGAGAAGGGGGTACAAGAAAGGAACAAAATTAACAAAGCATGATCTGGAGAAGAACCTAACAGTTCTATAGAAAGAAGGATGTCATAAACAAAGAGGTTGATGGGAAAGCAGGTGGGAAGAGGTGATCCTGGACTGAACAGCAAAGTGCCCATTTTGAGGTTCCAAATTTGAATACAAGCTCCTGGCCAAATCTATACCCTATAAACATAGGGGACCTAACCAGCTTATGTTTCCTTCTATATTGATATCACAGGTAAGCTATGTAATTTTAGGAGTCAGGATAAGAGCTTTCTACCAACCAAAAACTGTTTCCTACTTGCTAATGCCAGAAATCCCACCCTTCAACTCAATCTTATTGGCTTTTGTAACCTATTATAATGCAAATACCCAGGCCCTCCCTGGTGGCCCAGTGGGTTAAAGCACTGCACTAAGAAGCTTAAGCCACTTCCCCATGAGTTCGATCCCAACCTGCCCCAGAAGAGATCCACCTGGCAGGGCAGTCCTGTCCTGACCTGCCCGCTGCTCCCCTCAGCAGTGTACTTTGTCGATCTGCCTGTTCTGACCTGCCCGCTGCTCCCCTCCGCAGTGTACTTTGTCGATCTGCCTGTTCTGACCTGCCCGCTGCTCCCCTCAGCAGTGTACTTTGTCGATCTGCCTGTTCTGCTCCCCCCCTCTTTCCCTGGTGAATTCTCTCACCCTCTGCATCTCTGGCCTGTACCCCAATTCTGTATGAATAAATAAATAAATCTTTAAAAAAAATGCAAATACCGATTAGGAGAAATTAAGATTTCAAACCTACAATTCAAGTGTAACTTACTGTGAATTCATTCATGGGTTTGATAGAAGAATATAGTAAGCTCAAGATCAGTGAACACCAGAGAAAAGTTTAGGCAAGAGACTACTACCATTGAACCATAAGCTTTGGCAAAAAATCAATTTTCCTTTCTGATTGTACAATCACTGAATGTGTGCAAAGTAACTAGAACAATGATTACTTGTTATTTTTACTATTAATATTACTATTCATCTGGAAAAGAAATGCATGGTAGATAGTGGGTTTTGTGGGAGGAAAAGGAATTTTCTATTTCAGCATAGCTCACATAAGTGTTACACTGAGACAACAGGGGTGTCATTTGCCAGTCTTTGTTCTTTGTCTACTTATTTCCCAATTCCCTTGAGCTCTCTTATAAGCTTCTTGTATGCCACCTCTACCATGCTAACCTCAAAGGTCAGCTTCCCCTTAAAGTTCTAGCCAAATCACACACTTAAAAGTTCTACTAGTTCCCTCAGGAATACTGAGATCATTGCTACTTCAAAGTAAAAGCAAAGTAAACAGAAATAAAACTTAAAAACATCCTGACTTATACAGGAGAGGTTCCTGACCCCACCACCATAGCTATTTCAAGGGCTCTGAGATGCTGCCTGTTCCAGGCTGTGTTTCCCAATCTCTTGACCATATGACAGCAAGAGAACCTTAAAAGCACCACAGCACCCAGTCTAGAGTCTGTAAATCCCATAGCCCTGCACACTGACATCTTATGACCGACATGAATGATTTTCAGCACAGCCTCCCAGCCTTTCCCATTCCTTCCCTGTCTGGTTTGGGGACTTGTCTGTTCCAGAGATAATGAATAATTGTCCTTTAATAGAGGAAGCTGCCCTCCGCGCACACCTTTCTATATTCATACAATCTCGCTTGGATACTGGTGAACTCTTATAGTAAGCCAAATAGATACTTTACCCACATGAAAACATTATGCCAATGTAACAAGAAAAAAAAAAAAGACAGACACATCCAGCGGCCCAGTTGTTACACAAACTCTTCCCATTAGAAAGAAGTCTCTAGTGATGGGTCACTGTCTATTCATATCACCCTGGCATAGTATCATCATGGCATCGTGTCTCATGCAATTAGGTATCCAATATAGGTACCTACTATATGCCTGGAAATATGCTAGGTACATCATTCATATTTTGGGTAACCTTTAGAACAACCCTACAAAACGGGAAATATGTCAACATTATTGCCTTTAGAGTCATCAGCCTGACTCAGCCATTCACTCTGTCTTGTCTCAGTGTTTCACCATGGTAGACTCAAATTCAGGGCCACCAATCTACAATATCCAAGGCTCCCTACCCACTAGGCTTCTCTCTTTTTCCACATAATAAAGGCTTTGTCTTTGCACCTTTGTCAGGAAATTAGAATTTTTTTTTGGAGAGGTGTGGGCCCTTGCATGCCCCCAGCTAGTATCTGAGCATACAGTGGGGTACAGAGATCTTCCCATTTTTCAGATTTTAAAATAAGGCTCAGAAAAGTGCTTTTGCACAAGGTCACTTGTTGAGTGAATGGCACAGACTTTGAAGCTAAACTGTTTAAGTTTAAATTCAGACCAGCCTTCTGAAAAATGTGTTATTAGTCCACCTGGGATGCTTAGCAACACATCACAGGCTGGGGGGTTTATAAACAGAAATTTATTCCTCACAGTTCTGGAGGTTGGAAACCTGAGAAGAGATGCCAGCACCTGTTAAAGGTGAAGCACCTCTTTCAGGTCACAGGCTTAATCCTGTGTCCTTAAAGGATGAAAGAGACTAGGGAGCTCTGTGGCTCTCTTTTATAGTAGCATTAATCCCATTCTTAATGGCTCCATCCTTTGGAAGAAAGCACCTCCCAAAGCCCCCACTCCTGATACCATCAGCTTTGAGGGTTAGAATGTGGACACATAATTTTGAGATGGGGTTGCAGAACACAAATATTTAGACCACAGTTTAACACACCTGTGCCTTAGTTTTCTCATCTACAAGATTGTATTGGTTACTGAATTATTGTCTCCATCTCCCACCCACCCCATCTTTCTATAATCTGCTTTGTGATGCTAAGCCTGGGACAACAGAAAACCTATTTCCAACTTCTGGGCTTCAGGCCAGCTCTACCAGCCGGGGGTTCTTTAGAGGTAGCAGAGCAGGAGGAGCAAAGGAAACCAGACTTATTCCTTGTGGCTTCCTCTGAAGCCCACTCAGCAGTAAACCCTTCTCTCTCCTTCATACAGTCACTAAATTGTTTGCACTCTTCTCAGTACCTAGGTTCCTCCCATAATAGCAAAGATAGTATAGATTCTAGAATGCCACAACCTTAAGCACACACAGCAAAATCATGTCCTCCAATAACATCATTTAGTTCAACAGTGGAGAGAATTTCTTTTCCATCAACCTTGTGTCAAAAGGTCTGAACAAAACATTCTAGGACCTGCTGCTCTTGTAGAATCAGCCTCAGTATGTCACTCAAAACCCTCTTCAAAAAGGTTTGAATTTCAACTCTGTGCCCCCTCAAAGATCTAAGAAAATTTAGTAATCCCAAGTCTTTTATTCTCCCCCCTCCACCTCGCCTCATTCCTAAGTGGCAACTGCTTCCTGAAATTGCTAACACCCCTACCATACTTGACATCACCTAATTAATAACTTTACCAGTTAACTATTCCTCATATTAAATTCTCCCCCACTCAAATTACTGGAGTGATTGCTTTCTCCTGACAGACCCTGGGGGATACAAGAACACCTACTTCACATAGCTGTTGAGAGTAATAAATGAGTGATCCTTGATCCTTGTGAAGTACTCATAACCCTGTATCATAACAGGGCTTGCTTTATCAATGCCAGCTATCATTATCTGACAAGCGGTGAAGCTGGGTTGGAACCCAAGTCTGTTCACCTTCTTACCAATATAATTCCATTAGAAAAACATGTTTCTCTTAAAATAAATAGATACTATCTGTTCAAGCACAGGGTTAAGTGCTTTCACAGCTGTTACCTCTTTTAATCTTCTTAAGCACCTCTTAGATGCTTTGCATTCTTTAAGTGTTTTTTTCTCCAACAATTGGCTTCAAAAGGTATTCTGTGTTAAATATGCCCATTATCTTAAAATGTTAGGCCAAGTACACCAAATAGTTCAAACATCTATAAGAATTTTTTTTTTAACATGAGCTTCTCCAAATACTAATACATCTATATATGTCATGGCACTGTCATTTCACCAGTTGTGTGTGTGTAGAATCAAGATTCTGGCCTTTCAAGTTTTCTACTGTTTCCAATATCTAAAGTATAAATATTGAATTTTAAAAATTAAGTGCATATTTTGTGACATAGGAATATAAGTGCTTTCCATGTGTTTACCTCATTTTATCCTTGAAATAAACTATACTATCATTTTTGTATAATCTTGGCCAACGTTAGATAGTATAGTGACAAAACCAGGAATTAAAACAATTGTTCTGACTCACAATGCTCATGTTTTAGCCAATTCACCACAGATCACAGGTGAGGGTTAATAAGCATAGAAGATGCTGAGAGAATGAAGTTTAGCAAAAATATGAACTGAGACAGAAACAAAGTTCTTCACCATGAAAAGCTTAGAGAATGAAAGTTGAATCTTACACAGCATCTTTGACCTTGCTTTCAGAATCATTTGAGGTCATGAGAAATTCAAGATTCTGTAACTGGGTCTCCAGAATTTCTAACTCCATTCCATGTCAAGAAACTCTCCAATTTCAGTTTTGATATTTCAAAGGCAAACTAAGTGAAAAATTCCCAAATACTTTATTTCTGGGTGCATCCTTGCCTTCCAAGAACAGATCACTCTCTTCAGAAAGAAAATAAAAGCTCCCTCATAATATTTTTCAAAGAAACAATGCAGAGTGGGTGAAAACATACCTTTTGCTTGGTGCTTGACTTCAGGCCAACTCGGGAGTGACTTTTGGACTAGAGAAAAAAATGAAAAACAAATACTATGAAGAACACAGTACAATAGCAGGAGTTATTGTGAAATCCTCTTTTCCCCAAAGTTATTTCTTTAGAAGATAAAATTTTAAGTAGAAATCATTTCTCTTAACTTCCCTTCTCCCACCATCTCTAGTAATCACAGTATAGACTCCACGGTTAAAATGTTTCATTGCCAGAACTGAAAATACAAAGAGGCACCTACGTATATTTACCAACTCAACATCTTTGTTAGGACTCATGCTAAAACCAAAAATTCCCCACACCTGAGAAAATTCTCCCAGCTATGATTGGGGGGAGGGGTAAGAGAAGGAGAGCTGAGTAAAAGAATAAGAAAGGAAGGAGAAAATACTCTAAACTGGAAAAAGAGAAAATGGGCAAATTAGGGGGGAAAAGCACAATTATGGCAAGTTTTCCAAGTGCATTTCTATAGTGTAAATTTAAATTTAATCTCTCCTAATTTAAAAGCATTTGTAATAGATCGAAACAATGTTCTCAAAAATAGTAGTTCCTACGGAGAGCTTTTTATTTTCTCGCTGACCTATTCCAAATTATCTACCCTTATTTGGAATGAGAAGAGATAAAACAAGCATTAATCTGGGCATGAGAATACTTTGATATTCCAATGAGAAAGAAGCAGAAGTCAAGCTGACCGTGATTAGCACTCAGATCATGACCATACCTGGCTTTCATTCTGTTAGTCAAAGTTAACTAAAACAATGACTACAACCCAGCTAGAGAAATGTCTCCCTAACTCACCAGACCTCAAACTGCGTGGTCTCAAGATTCCTTTATACCCCTAAAAGTATTGGGGCCAGATAGCGCCAGCAAAGCCCAGAGCAGGTTTTCTATGATCCGGAGAGAGGAGCAGAAGAGTCCTGGAGCCCTGGGTGGCTTTTTACAGCTTCTAGTGGTCTTCCAACACCATTTGTAGGGGGCACCCAGGATCAGGGCAGGCAGAGGTAGGGAGGCCTCCTAGCACCCCGCAAATCTTCACTCTTTCTGGGCTCTCTGGCTTCTGTCATGGGCTCGTCTCTGGTCTTCACTGCACTGACCTAGAAGTGCTCCAGCCCTCTACCACCGTGCTCTGCTCGCTGGTGCGCCTCAGTGACACCGCCCTTAGATACACTCCACCTCCCGACTCAGGTGCGCCCACGCACGCGCGCCCACGCACGCAGGCACGCCCACGCACGCAGGTACGCCCACGCACGCAGGTACGCCCACTCACGCATGCCCATGCCACACGCCAGCTACAGCCATCCCGCGTGCCTATAAAATGGGTGTTGATCATTGATGCTAATGGTAGGAGAATGGAAAACACCTGATAAACTCCATTTACCGTACAGGCCACCAAACAGCTTTTATGTTGGTTATGCAACATCCACTGATATTCACTGTGTTCAATGAGAACTGAAAATTTTTTTAATTTGTATTAATTCAATTAAAATAAACCCATTTCACGCTAAATATATAACGTTTATACATATTTCTAAACAGCAAATTGTATGAAAATGCCATCTTTCTCACATTTTTGTGTATCTCTAATGTGGAACTAGAGACATAGATGACAGCTAAATCCTTGTTATACCTGTTTAGTCATAATCAATTGTGCTATGATATGGTTTGGCCACAGTAAATGAAGAAAGGTCATCCTCATTCAGATATATAGGTGAAAAAGTAAAAAACACTAATAATCTTTCAGATTGAAAGATTATTGAGAATTATTGAAAGAAATTGAGAATTAGTACTTTCTAACCGTCAGTTGCAACATACAATCTGAAATCATAAAAATGAAATATGTTACATACTAATTTTAGGTCTATCTGGCACTTTGAATGGATAGTTTACCACTGCCTGATTTTGTAGTATCATGAATTGGTCATTTGAGAAATAGTGGTTTAGTGAGTATTTGAGGTTTTCCAAATACTGACATTTAGTATAGAACATCAAAAAAAAATTACATTTACTAATCACCAACTTCAGCAGTACGGAATCACTACTAGTAAGCTATCAAGCTCACAGTAACCTCGAAGTTTTCTAAAATTCTAATTTTCACTTGAAAGTTTGGATTTTATCAGGGTCAAAAAATATTATCAGGTGCTTTTCTTGAGGCAGTAGCCTCTTTTAATTTATTCTGTTCATGTCTGCCAGCTACATGACTCAGAATGTTATTAGTTCATCTATCACTTGTTCTTTGAAGGTAAAATGGTGTTTCATGATAAAAAAAAAAGGGGGGGTGTGTGGCCTACAATTTGTTGAAATAAACTGGAGTAAGCGCTTTTCTTCAGGATAACCACTGAACATTTAAATGCATTAGTGCTCAAATTCATATTTCTCATTTGTCTATCAGAATAACTAAAAACTTGTGTGTACAAAAGGTTGTAAATTAGCAAACAATATTTTTTACTACTTCATCAAGGATACATTTAAGTGAAACTGGCATTTTTTTCCACAACGCACATTATGGCAGCTTTAGCTACTATTGCTGTTGCATAATCAATTCAGATAAATAGCAAAAAAATCTTAATATTAATTATGAAAAGTGCTCTGGCTCCATAGATTCCTTTTGTGAATCATCACTCTGACTCATTTAAAGTATGTAGGCTAATAAAAACTAAAGTCTCCTACATAAAAAGAAATGGAACTCAGGAGGAACAAAGCAAGTTGTCATTGTCCCTACCGCCTCCCTCATGGCTTAGATCAGCAAGACCAAGGGACCAAACAGGAGTAGGCTTCCTATGATGAACCAAAGCTGGGATAAGGAAAGGAACTTTTTTTTTTTTTAGATTTATTTATTTATTCATACAGAACTGGGGTACAGCCCAGAGATGTGGAGGGTGAGGGGATTCACCAGAGACAGAGTGGGGAGCAGAACAGGCAGATGATCAAACTACACTGTTGAGGTGAACAGCCAGCTGGTCAGAAGTCTGCCGCACCATGTGCATCTTCTCCGGGGCAGGCGGGGATGAAACTCAGGTGGAAGTGGCTTAAGCTTCTTAGTGTTGTGCTTTAACCAGGGAGGGCCTGGAACTTTATTTTTTAAAAATTCACAGTATTACATGCCTTTTGCAGCAACGTGGATGGGACTGGAAGGGATCATGCTTAGTGAAATAAGCCAGAAAGAAAAAGAAAAATACCGGATGGTTTCACTCATAGCAGGAGTACAAAGGACCAAGGGAGAAAATAATAAGAATAATGAACAACTATATACCAGAGATATGTTATGGGGGTAGAGTGGGGAATGGGACCAAAAATGGGAGGGGGGGGAAGTGCACTGGACTATGGTGATGCCACACGGGTGATTTGGAGATGGAAAGTCCACAGGAATTACAACTGAGATGGAAAAGGCACAAAATGATGTAAAAATAAACTATTATTTAAAAAAATAGAAAATCCACAGTGTTCATCTATCACTTAACTTGTGCAATGTTTTATGACTTGTCTAGCTCATTGGCACAATTCTTTACCCCAAAATTCATGTGTTGAATATCTAATTCCCAGTGCCTTAGCATATGACTACATTTAGAAATAGGGCCTTTGAAGAGGTAAAGAAGGTGAAATGAATTTACATACACAGGCCCTAATCTATTATGACTGTTGTCATAAGAAGTGATTAAGACACAATGCACACACACACACACACACACACACACGAACACACACACACAGAGGGAAGACCACATAAAGACAAAAAGTCAGCTATCTAGAAGCCAAGGATACAGGTGTCACAGGAAACTAACCCTGCTGACCCTCTGATCTTGGATTCTAGCCTCTAGGACTGTGAAAATTCAAATGTGTATTGTTTAAGCCACCTAGTCGATGTATTTTGTTATGTAGCTCTGGAAAACCAATATTATAGACCTGACAAATTCACCCCAAAGAAGTAAAAATCCAAAAAGTAGAGGTCCAGCTAAATGATGTTGAATTAAAAGGAGTCATTTTTATCATCAATTATGCACTTCCTAAGTGTGCTGACTTCCTCGGTCAGTAGTTCTCAAATTCGGGAGTTCCTAAAGATCATATAAGGAGCTATTAAACATAACATTTACCAAAGCTTAACACTAGAAATCCAAGATAGGAGTTTTGGGGTGGCTATATGTGCCAATCAGTGCCCTGGGGGGTACACAGACCACAAACTACTATGTGCCTGCCAAAATAAAGAAAATAAGGAAACACATGTTGATTCTCTTTCTCTTTGACGAGTCCAAATAAATAAACGACAATTTCCTTATCCTTTGCCTTTTAAATGCCTGGTGTTAAAATTCTTAGTGTGGTGGAGAACTGGTGGGTGGGCCAAGATAATTGAAACCAGCTAAATGTTGATAAATTACTCAAACCAAACTCAGTGTAGGTCTCTAACAATTTTTTAGCCTCTCCAATTTAAAAACAAACATACAAATTTTGTGTTTATACTTTTGGAAATGGACTTCTATACCATATTAAATGCCATAAATACTGATGGATAATGCCTTTGTACTCACTCAGTCATGATAGCAAATATGACCTAAAGGATAAGACTGCCATTTTACAACGATTAAAAGCTGTGATGGATCATTTACATGTCTATATGTATCCTACTGGTTCTATTTCTCTGAATAATCCTGACTAATGCAAAAGTCAATTTTTTTCTTAAAAAATAATGTTGTAACTGACATTAAACAAGTATTTGGATTTCTAGACAGAACAGAGATTTTAATTAGTAATAAAAAAAAATCACCTACATTGTACACAACAATCTACTCAGTCTCCTACTTATAAACTAGTGACCATCTAAAAAAATTTTTTTAGTTATGTGTTAAGGCCTTAGAACTTATTGTCCCCATAGTAATAATTTTACAGGCTACAACATACAAACCCCTTTAACCTATGATAAGAATTCTAAGCAATTTCAATAAAAATGGTATGTTATCACAATATATGAGTATACAAGGCAGGAAAAAATAAAATGAATTAAAATAACAATGCTTTTCCACATTATACTG